ACCATCTCTACCATCACCCCATCACCACCACTACTTACCATCACCATCATCACCACCATCATCACCACCATCACCACCATCACCATCATCACCACCATCATCTCCACCACTACCATCACCAGCACCACCACCAACATCAACACTGTCACCACCACCATTACCACCCACCACCACTACTACCACCACCACCACCATCAACATCGACACCATCACCACCATCACCATCACCATCATCATCACAATATCATCACCATCATCTTCACCACCATCAGCACCATCCTCCTTCTTACCCCGCATACCTCCTGCCCATCAGCACCATCACTGTCCCTGCACAACTCCTGCATTCAGCACAGCTTATTAAGTATTGCAGTGGCAATAACAGTGCCAGTCTGTACCAGGGGACCGCCTTCCTGGTGCTGAGCAGGAAGTGCCTTCATTGCCGCCTCTTACAGATGCTTACTTACAGAGCATCTTGGTTCCTGTCGATATTTTACGTCCTGCCTCATTGCTTTCCTGGTCATCCTGCCAGGGTTGGGAAATGTTCATCTTTCTAAAGCTTCATCCTCCGAGGCCATCTGGAGGCAAAGACAGGGCAGAGAAAATGACGTTGCTCTGGGGGGCGTCTTAAGATAATCTGCCCGGAAAGCCATGTCCAATTCTGAATGTCTCTCTAGGAGTAAATACATGAATTAACACAGCTGCATAAATATTTCACTTATCTTATGCAACTTCAGCAGGATTAATTATGCTCTAAAATTAGACCTGTAAAGAGCACGGTGCCAAGAAGTACCTAATTATTATTCATCCTTTAGAATGGAGTGTTTATCTCTTGTTATAGAGGAGCTTCAGTGGACGATTACGACTCTAATGAGTGTCAAAAGTATAAAAAAATTTTCCTAATGAGCTGTGTAAATATAACCTTTGAGTGAGTGTTTGGTTACTGGGGGAACCTCTTGCATGAAGCCTGCCAGGCATTTCCCTAGGAAAAAGGGCAGCTGATCCCGTGCCTGCAGGGCTGCACAGTCTCCGCAAGGCCTTGCCTGCCTCCCCTGTCTGGCTGCTGGGAGCTTTCAGGAATGCAGGGGAGCATCTTGGCATCTCTGGCTCTCAGTAGTCTAGAAACAGTGCTCACAGGTACTTTTTGGCAGCCACCAGCATCCGTTCCCAGCGTTGACTGAGAAACGCATTCCTTCCCAGGCACCGATGTCCCAAGAAGGGGATGTCAGTCTTTCCTCTTTCCTTCCAGGGACTGGCAGTTAGCTGGTGACGACATATAAACTTACGATAGAAGCACATTTATACCAACATAAGTATACGAATTCCTCTGTATAACCCAGGTAGAGGGACATCTGTGTGGCTGGACACACACATCCCTCGTTTCCTTAGTGCCCCGGGGAGCCAAGAGGGCCATTAAG